TTGCACAGTATTAGCAATCAAGGCTTTTAACATTCTGTTAAACGGGAAAGTCCAACACTGTTTCAATGCAACTTTAGTATATCTGCTGGGACCAAGCATTTGGTCAAAAACTGCAGCATCTGAAGAGTTCACTCAGTTTTTTTTTTTTTTTTTTTTTTTTTTGCAACACATGCTACAGGCAAAGACACAAAGGACAAAACTGAACACATGGAAATCACAATATGAAGTAACACAGAAGCACTAGAAACACAACGTAAAAGACTTGCGTGAAGCATCCAGAGACTCTGGAGTCCAAGTCAGACGTAGTGTAGATACCAACTGCTAAAAAACACAGGCATGAAAATTGTGCCTTTCTGTTCCCTAAATGATTGTGCAAGATTTTACACATATTTAGAACATTTACCTGAACTCTGTGACTTCCTCACACTACATGTCCAAAAGTGTGGGAGCATTCTCCGGCAGTGTCTGGATGATAGTTAGATGAGTTTATAAATCTGATGACTGTTTGTGTTTGAACCACAAAGTTTTCTTTTTACAAGAGTTCACAAAGTTTAATTTTTCAAATAATCTAAATTGTTTTGTGTCTTGTGTGAATAGTTTTGCAAAGTAAAAGACGATTTGCCAGATTCATGAAACGTTTCAGAAAATGTGCCAAAGCATTTGAATTAAACTGTAAAATACACTTAAGTGGATTTGGGACTGAATTTTAATTTGATTGTACTGCAGTAGGTATAGGAACCATACACTTTTACCATAAAGCTACACTGTTTGACTAAATGAAACAGTGTTTTTAAATGATTTTGACTGATATTCTCTTGAAACCATTTTTCGAAATGTTCTTCCAAAATGTTCCCACAACACATATCCGTTTGTTTCCAACCAAACATTCCTGCAACATCCTGGCAGTTAAAGCATCCCTTGCACACAAATATCTGTGCATCTCAGTTGACATAAAAAATGCTCTCTCCATTTTCCTGTTGAGATTTCCAGTGTCTCCTCCTCTCTCCTCTGCTCCTGACAGCTCTAGCCCGGCCCTCTGCAGTGCTGACAGCCAAATGTCCTCATCCATCCTCATCCAGGGGCCCACCGGCATCATCAGTCCCAGCTACATCTCCCCAAAGTGGGATTCACTCACCCCAGGCCCAGGCAAAAGCAACAGGGCCTTGGAGGTACCCTGTGGAGCCTCTGTCAATATGTCATCATCATCAGAGCGGCCAGTTGGCAACACGGAGACCACTGCACATGTGTCAGCAGAAAATGGTTCCATTCACTTTAAAACCAACAAGTTCATTCAACTCATATTACCTAAAGCTTGGGTACCTGACTTGTACAATTCTTGTAAATGAGAAAATGTAGTTTTTTCCCCCCATAGAGTAATGTAAAAGCAGCACTTTGTAAGTATTTTATTGATCAGAATTCTGGTAGAAAGAGCCATAAATGCCTATATGATTGACTGGGTGTTGGCGGTGGACCCCTTCTTCACTTTGCTGACTGGAAAAGTTCTTAAAGATGCATGCACCTGAGTTAGATGAATGATTTGCTAGATTGAAAATACCTCTTTTCCATGGTTTGAAAAAAGGATAATGAATGAAATTAAAGTTAAATACTTTCAGCAAGTAGTGTTGAATGCAACAATTTTGCATGGCTGATCGCAAGACATTTAGGGCAGTTTACTCTCATCTTTATTCACCATGTTTATGATCATGAAGATAAAAATAAATAAATAAAAAATTTAAACATGCACCATTGAGTTTTTTTTTTTGTTACTTTCCAGCTGATGCAAGTAATGACAGTACTTTATCAGAAGCTCTATTAGACTTAAATCTGATCTTTTATGTTAACACAGTCTCACCTGAAAGAGCTGACTTATTTTTACTTACTTTTTATTGAAAATCAAACACCTAAACAAGACCATGGACTCACATTAAGCACAGACTCCTAAAAATGTGTTGTCTAAATCCATATATTTTTTCTCTAAACTTTGTGACAGTTTTGCAAATGGGTAACATTCCACCATAGAGATACATGTAGAACACCCCCAGCGTGATGTCGCTGTAAAGTATCAAATATATTCTCTCCATAGAATGACACATCCATACACTCCATAGAAATATACTGTTTTCTGCTCTCAGTCCAAACAGTCAGACGTGCGAGTTCCAGTGAAGTATTTGTGATGAACCAACACTACTGGGAGCAGTGGCAGTGTGCTTTCTGACAGGTTCAGAGCCACGCAGCAGAAATAAGCACTTATTGTCCAAGGCGACCCGCTGACAAACCAATTCCAGTCAAGTCCCAAAGCTGTGATTCATAGGACTATTCTACCACACCAGTGTAACACATGCATTATTTAGCTTTTCTTTGGACGTATAAAGCAACAAGGAAAACCATAAGGACTAGATTAGAGCTAGAGTCATTCCGTTTGCCACAGCAGAGGTTTGCACTGTAGAAAATGTCTGCTAGATGACAATTTATACAAAATTATAAATAAGTGTATATAAAATAACTATAAGCAATTGACTACTCACACAGAGATTTTTTTTTTTTAATTCTGGTGTACACTTTACACTTGACCCTATATTTCTTACCATAAAAAATAATATTGATACTTTGCAGTGACATCACGCTGGGGGTGTATTTGTCTGTATTTCTATGGCAGAATGTTCATCAGTTACCATGGTGACAGTGACACAATGCACACATTAGCAATAACTACCAAAACATTTTTAGATTGTCTAAAAACTCAAGAAAAAACACATTTTCACAAGTCTATGATTAATACGAGAGTTTATGGTCCTATTTGGATGTTTGATTTTTAAAACAAAAGTCATTTCATGTGTGAAAGACTTGTTCAAGAGCACAAATCATCTCACCTTCCAGCTAAATCAGATCTTTCTGGTCAGACTGTGACACAATCTGACCAGAACACAATGATTGTGTTCAGTCAAATTATGTCGAATTTGAGAAAAAGAGCTTCAGACAGAGCAGAGCCTACAGTTAGCATCGCACGCAACGTTGATGACAGCTGTAAAGTATCAATATTAAAATGTGCTCACAATTATTTTATGATACTGTGATAATACTCATGTAAGTTATGATAATAGCTATTACTTGTTAATTATTATTTATTTAAGTATTTTAACTCTCCTTTCCTTCCTTTCATGAGTCTATGATGCCACAGAGACCATACTGTCATAGAGGATACATTACTCTATTCAATAAAATATAACTTGAGACTTTGGTAACTTAATATGAGCAATAACTGTCAGCGTTTACAGTAATATGTGTGTGTGTCTGTGTAAGCTCTTGCCCTGGGACTGTAGGTGGAGTTCCAAGTGACAATGCAATGTGAGCCATAGAACGATGTGCAAACTTTGACCTCTGGCTCTTATTCTCTTCCTGGGTCATCCATCTTCATTTCTGGCAGTGGGTAACTCTACTTTAAGGCATTATTTGAAACATTTTCAAGTGTTTGGACACACCCCACTTGTCTGCAATGACGTCCATCAGTCACCGTTTGTTGCAATAAGGGATCAAGTAGCTTATTGTACACTGTAGAAAAAATACATCGGCTCTCCAGGAATGTACGAAAGAAAACATCAAAGTTCAGAGCACCCTCGTAATTATAGAGTTTGTTTTGACTGGATAAATAAAGTAAATGCCACATAAAACTGCTGATTTCCGATCCAAACACTTTATGGAAGTGTTCCCCTCTCCCTAATCTTTAACCGCTGACCATAATTTGAGAGATAATCTTAAACAGGAAGATCAAGTGTAATGAAAGTCCAGAGGCTTTGGGAAAATTCTGTGAACTCTAATGAGACCACAACAAAAATGTGGGAGCATTTGTACCTTCTGATAAAAAAGTGTATATTGAGAGACAATTCACTCCTACAAAAACAAATCATTGAAGAACAATTTGTGATACATATTTCTTCTTAGGTAAAGCTAAAATACCTTCTAATGTGGTGTCATGGATAAGACAATTGCACTTAAAATAAGAGACATTTGAATTAACAAACATAATAATCTGGACTTTTAAAAAATATGGGGGACTAGTACATACAAATTCTTGGCCATACTTGAGCATTGAAAACAGTCCAATGTCCAAGTGTGTCCTCCATAAATCTGCAGTGTCTTATAAAGTGAATGAGTGCTAAAATAAGTGTGTTCTGGCCCCACTCAACGTTCAGCCTTTCAAGGACACTGACTGACATTTTATACAGTCTCTGCAGTTTAGTGCTATTGATGTCATTCATTTAACAAGATCCTGTTGTAATAAGGATACAGCATATTGTCCAGTACTTTCAAAGTGCTGTTTAAGAGACACTGAAATAATAAGTATGAGAGATAGAAGAGGTCAAAATGGTCAAAATGAAACAAGAGTCTATAGTGTTACTATTACAATACCAAATGGGTAGAATTGGGACTTTTACCAGCAAACCTAGGACTTGCAGGCCTGTGGTGTATCTGCTATATCAGTGTTTTCTGAGTTGCAGCACACTTTTTTGATTGAAAAGTTTCTGCGGCAGGCACACCACCCACTTAAAGAGACCCATTTACACCATTTTGATAGTTTCCTTAACTCTTTGTTTGGTTCTTTATCTTGGGGAATGATGATCATTTTGCTTCCTCAACCCAGTTCAGTTTAGGACAGTTCAAAATAGTAAATTATTCAGTTAAATGCATGCATGAATCAACTTTGATTGGATGTTTTTTCCAAGGCACACCTGGCAATACCTGAAGGAACAGTAGAGTTTAACACACTGGTTGAAAATCAATGCCCTACTATCACTGACAGAAACTCCTGTTGGTTTCAAACTGGTTCCTCTGCTCACCAGTCAGTAACCTATGTCTGCAGTGAAGCACATGGCATGCTGGGTAATAAAATATGCCCCTGTCAAGGGGATTTTCTGAGCAAGATTCAAACCAATGTCAGTGTCTAAACCCGATGCCTTACAACTAGGTGTCACAGAATGAACAATGTGAAGGCAAAGGTGGTTCAAGGTTACTTTATTTGTCTTCCTTGGGAGAAATTATATCTGGGCCAGGACAAATAAACATAATAACACAATGGGCACATGGTATATACATTAGTTTAAATGATCTAATTCTCTTCAAGGTTGAGAAGGAACAAAAAGACCTACTGTCTACAAAATATTACAAATATTCACAGACACAGGGCAGAAACATGTATCACATAAATGCATTTAATCACAGGCTTTGTTGTTTTAGCTGCTCTGCCATTACAGTAACACCACAGACATCTTTGCAGATGCATGGACAACATTCATTTAGATCCCCCTGTAAACAGAAGAAAATGTGTAACTGGGTTGTTAAATGCTAATATATCAGCAATAAAGTAATTTGTTACTCACATGTGATGGGTCCAACAGTGAGTGACTGCATTGCTACACCTTCAGAAACTGAGCGGGGTGCCCTTCCAGAGCAAACCTGTACAAATAAAATTGTTCAGATCAACCACATTTTTGCACTGTAATAGACTAAAATGCATGCTGCCGAGTTTTAAACTACCACAATAACAAGTTTTATTATATGATTAGTGGAGAGACTTACTGGAACACAGGGACCACCGCTGCACAGACTGAGGTGGCAGTGAAGGTAGACTGTCCTGTACTGACCCTGAGGCACGAAGAAGAGGGCAGAGAAACGAGCACGAAGAGACGTCCCGCTCTCAACCACCTCCACCTGCTGAGGGTCAGAAGGACACCTACGAGAGAATTGTCACAGTATTATATGGAACATGTATTAACAAACTCAAGCATAAGTAACAGATCAAAGTACTAAAATGCAAGAAAATAGTTTATTAGTACCTTTACCATAACTTGTACTTGTACTATCAACTGTTGCTACTTCCTTCTTTCTTTAAAGCTTTTGCCTTCCACCACTATAACTGCCACTATGTGAATAGATGTTATCATTAGAATCATACAAATTCTTAATGCTTAATCAGTATGTAATCTACTAAACATAATTAGAATAGAAGAAGGAAAGAAAATATAAGTTTATATTAGTTTTGTCCTTTCTAAACAACTCTAGATATATGCATAATAGGGCACCTGGCTCTTATGTTAAACCTGATGTTTTAGTCTTTATAGATAAACATACTTGTTTTGGATTAGAGGATGTCTCATTGCATCATTTGGGTTGGATGAGTATGTGAAGTAGCAGTTGTTCAGAACAGTCACAAAACTTAGGTCATTCTCCTCCACATAGACACCGACATACAGTGGCTTGCCAACCGGCACACTCACAGTGCCTGGTGGGTAAGGAATGCTGTAGCTTGGGTCTGCGTACAGAGACATTGAGGCTCTTGGGGCTCCACCTGATTGAATAATGCCCCCGGCTGGTCTGCAAAGATGAAAAGACACTTACATTTAATGGGACATAGTGAATCATAAAATACTGATTTGATTTTGAGCTTTGTCATGCTTACACAAAAGGATAGAGAGCAACGTTGAGTCTGGTGTTTATGTTTAGGGGATACACGCATGTGAAGGGGAGACTTGCAGGAACATGGAAAGAGTCATTGTGGGCGTAGATGAATAAGCTGTTAGTGTACATGACGTGTGTGCTGTTAGTCTGAAAAACATGACGATAAATGCAATCATTCAAAACACTGATAATACAGTTTAAAACAGTACAGCTAACACCCTTACCCTTCTGCTATTCCCACAGACTCCCGCTCTTGGCTCGACCTCATACCGCACTATGTTATTCTGCACACTGGATAAGGGGCAGTTACGGTCCACCAGGTGACCAGACAGAGGGTCCAGACCAGAGGAGGACACAGTTCTCATATCTAGACTAACTATGATTTTATCTTGTCCACAGAGAAATTGGTAGACCGGGATTGATACGTCATTCACTTGAAGACAAATGGTTATAAATATGATGAGCAAAGGGAGAAAAGGAAATATCCACATTCATAAACATAACCTCAAATGGTAGTTTAAGAAAGCTTACATTCACAAATAACACCAGCATCTTCACCATGATGACAGTTGTGACTTCCAAATCCATTGTGGTTGCAGTCTGTTATTGACGCCTCAGATCCCACACAGTTGACATTGTCCATCCAGATGGGTCCTGTGCCCTGTCCAAAAGCTGCATTTGTAGGTGCAGCTTGTGCCCGGCCACAGCCCAGCTGCCTGCACACCACACTGGCATCAGTCAGGCCCCAGGAATCATCACACACTGTGCCCCAGCGGCTGTCATGGTACACCTCCACTCTGCCTGAGCAGCGGCCCCCCGAGTTCACCAGCCGCACCGGAGACAGGGCTGAGGACACAAGTAAACTGTGTTAAGGTTGGAGATACATAAGGTCCTGCTCACACAACCACTCCACATACTAGAAGCCTGTTAAAGACTAGTCTGAGACGTTACCTTCACACACCACACCCGCGTCCTCACTGTGGCTGCAGTCATGGCTCCCAAAGCCCCTATGACGACACTGGGATAGCTCAGTCTCCTGTCCTGTACACATGACATCGTCCATCCAAATGCGGCCAGTGCCCTGTCCAAAACGAGCGTTCGTAGGAGCAGAGAGCACCCACCCTGCCACAGCCCAGCTGCCTGCACACCACCTGGGCATCCAGCAGCAAGCCCCAGGAATCGTCACATACAGTGCCCCACTGTCCTCGGTGGAAGATCTCCACTCGTCCAGAGCAAGAGCTGTTCCCCCCATTGAGCAGACGCACCTCTCCCTCCACTCCTGTACTGTTGTACCCAGGAGTGGTCTGGTTCCCTGGAGGGCGGGTAGGGATGGTGGTGGTCTCAAAGTAAGTTGGAGAAGGACCCGGAGGCCTGGGTTCAACCGTGCTGTTTAAAGCTGGTTAACACAACACATGTTGTCAGGTCAAAGTCATGTATTTTGGTGTTATTGCCATAACATTTCAAAATATAAAGAAACACAATAAGAACACCTTCAGACTGGACCCAAAAAATAATTATAAGTTTTGATTTTCTCCTTTATCTTAGGGAGTTGGTCACACATGCCTGTAACACATTTTGAGTTTCACACTAATGTTGGTTAATTTAGTTTCTTAAATCTGCACTATGTAACATTTTCTTGAAGAGGGTGTGCAATCTCCCTGTCACCATGGACTTTATTATTTGCTGATATTGTTCCAGAGAATGACATTAAACTTATAGTAAGCCCAATCACAGTAAGAATGCATGTTTTTAAAGTGCAACAAGGTGGTCACTGGTACCACAATTTCCCACCGCAGTGCGTTTGTGAATGCAACACCGTGCGTCACTGATTAGAAACTAGAAAAATGTGTGCACGCCTCAATGTTGTTGTTGAGGCTTTCAGTGGGTAACGGTGTGTCTGTTGAAGGCAGTTGGCGGTGGTAATGGTGGCGCTCCGATTGCGCCCCTAGCCCCATGTAGGGCATGATCTTCCAAATACTAGGAAAATACCTTTTTTATTGTATACCTTGGTTGGTGATGTTTGTTTTTTTTTGTATTCTTGAAGTTAACCTATGGCTCCTTGTGAAACAGATTTCAGCTGCTGCTAATATTCTTGCTCTCTAGTTATGCCCTATTTAGTGTTGGTTCTTATCAGATGAGCGTAGTGGTAAAGCTAAAGCATTATTGCGATCGGAGTGGGATTAGTTAAGTGCAATATATGGCCGGGTTTGCAGCACAATGCAAGGTTGGGTCTCAGGCATAGGACTAGGCACTTTAACCATGTAGAACTCTATGCACTTTAACTTAACACCAAAGCTTACCTCAGTCACTTTAGCACAAACACTTTAAATGCTAATTAGCAAATCATCCATGTTTGCATAGCACTAGCACTTTGACTTATTATGAATGTAGGGCTTAATTAGTTTGGTTTGCTTTTCATTAATGTTTGGTTTGACATTACTATTATTTGTTGTGTTTAGTATATTTTTGGTTAAATTGTACATTTACAAAGGTTAATTTGTTGGTTATTGTTGTCTTTTCATTGATTGGTGCACTAGAGAAAATGAAATAATTTCAAATTTTTCATAATCTAAAATAAAGCTTTGTCATTTTTATTTTTATTTTATTTTATTTTTTTTTAGCATTAAAGTACCTGTAATTTTATAAATACAACTTACTAACAGGTAACTGACCCCCACCAGAAAAGTTACATAGTGAACCTTTAACAGTCACAAAGCTGAAAGACTTATGTGGAGTCTTACAGACACTCAAGTAACATAAACTGCAGTGTATTACACTTAACCATTGAATAGCCACCATATATTGAACAGCCCAGTGTGTTTACCTTCACACATGACACCAGCGTCTTCTCTGTGACTACAGTCATGAATTCCAAATCCATTGTGGTTGCAGTCTGTTATTGACGCCTCAGATCCCACACAGTTGACATTGTCCATCCAGATGGGTCCTGTGCCCTGTCCAAAAGCTGCATTTGTAAGTGAAGCTTGTGCCCGGCCACAGCCCAGCTGCCTGCACACCACATTGGCATCATTCAGGCCCCAGGAATCATCACACACTGTGCCCCAGCGGCTGTTATGGTACACCTCCACTCTGCCTGAGCAGCGGTCCCTCGAGTTCACCAGCCGCACCGGAGACAGGGCTGAGGACACAAGTAAACTGTGTTAAGGTTGGAGATACATAAGGTCCTGCTCACACAACCACTCCACATACTAGAAGCCTGTTAAAGACTAGTCTGAGACGTTACCTTCACACACCACACCCGCGTCCTCACTGTGGCTGCAGTCATGGCTCCCAAAGCCCCTATGACGACACTGGGATAGCTCAGTCTCCTGTCCTGTACACATGACATCGTCCATCCAAATGCGGCCAGTGCCCTGTCCAAAACGAGCGTTCGTAGGAGCAGAGAGCACCCTGCCACAGCCCAGCTGCCTGCACACCACCTGGGCATCCAGCAAGCCCCAGGAATCGTCACATACAGTGCCCCACTGTCCTCGGTGGAAGATCTCCACTCGTCCAGAGCAAGAGCTGTTCCCCCCATTGAGCAGACGCACCTCTCCCTCCACTCCTGTACTGTTGTACCCAGGAGTGGTCTGGTTCCCTGGAGGGCGGGTAGGGATGGTGGTGGTCTCAAAGTAAGTTGGAGAAGGACCCGGAGGCCTGGGTTCAACCGTGCTGTTTAAAGCTGGTTAACACAACACATGTTGTCAGGTCAAAGTCATGTATTTTGGTGTTATTGCCATAACATTTCAAAATATAAAGAAACACAATAAGAACACCTTCAGACTGGACCCAAAAAATAATTATAAGTTTTGATTTTCTCCTTTATCTTAGGGAGTTGGTCACACATGCCTGTAACACATTTTGAGTTTCACACTAATGTTGGTTAATTTAGTTTCTTAAATCTGCACTATGTAACATTTTCTTGAAGAGGGTGTGCAATCTCCCTGTCACCATGGACTTTATTATTTGCTGATAGTGTTCCAGAGAATGACATTAAACTTATAGTAAGCCCAATCACAGTAAGAATGCATGTTTTTAAAGTGCAACAAGGTGGTCACTGGTACCACAATTTCCCACCGCAGTGCGTTTGTGAATGCAACACCGTGCGTCACTGATTAGAAACTAGAAAAATGTGTGCACGCCTCAATGTTGTTGTTGAGGCTTTCAGTGGGTAACGGTGTGTCTGTTGAAGGCAGTTGGCGGTGGTAATGGTGGCGCTCCGATTGCGCCCCTAGCCCCATGTAGGGCATGATCTTCCAAATACTAGGAAAATACCTTTTTTATTGTATACCTTGGTTGGTGATGGTTTTTTTTTTTTTGTATTCTTGAAGTTAACCTATGGCTCCTTGTGAAACAGATTTCAGCTGCTGCTAATATTCTTGCTCTCTAGTTATGCCCTATTTAGTGTTGGTTCTTATCAGATGAGCGTAGTGGTAAAGCTAAAGCATTATTGCGATCGGAGTGGGATTAGTTAAGTGCAATATATGGCCGGGTTTGCAGCACAATGCAAGGTTGGGTCTCAGGCATAGGACTAGGCACTTTAACCATGTAGAACTCTATGCACTTTAACTTAACACCAAAGCTTACCTCAGTCACTTTAGCACAAACACTTTAAATGCTAATTAGCAAATCATCCATGTTTGCATAGCACTAGCACTTTGACTTATTATGAATGTAGGGCTTAATTAGTTTGGTTTGCTTTTCATTAATGTTTGGTTTGACATTACTATTATTTGTTGTGTTTAGTATATTTTTGGTTAAATTGTACATTTACAAAGGTTAATTTGTTGGTTATTGTTGTCTTTTCATTGATTGGTGCACTAGAGAAAATGAAATAATTTCAAATTTTTCATAATCTAAAATAAAGCTTTGTCATTTTTATTTGTATTTATTTATTTTTTTTTAGCATTAAAGTACCTGTAATTTTATAAATACAACTTACTAACAGGTAACTGACCCCCACCAGAAAAGTTACATAGTGAACCTTTAACAGTCACAAAGCTGAAAGACTTATGTGGAGTCTTACAGACACTCAAGTAACATAAACTGCAGTGTATTACACTTAACCATTGAATAGCCACCATATATTTGAACAGCCCAGTGTGTTTACCTTCACACACATGACACCAGCGTCTTCTCTGTGACTACAGTCATGAATTCCAAATCCATTGTGGTTGCAGTCTGTTATTGACGCCTCAGATCCCACACAGTTGACATTGTCCATCCAGATGGGTCCTGTGCCCTGTCCAAAAGCTGCATTTGTAAGTGAAGCTTGTGCCCGGCCACAGCCCAGCTGCCTGCACACCACATTGGCATCATTCAGGCCCCAGGAATCATCACACACTGTGCCCCAGCGGCTGTTATGGTACACCTCCACTCTGCCTGAGCAGCGGTCCCTCGAGTTCACCAGCCGCACCGGAGACAGGGCTGAGGACACAAGTAAACTGTGTTAAGGTTGGAGATACATAAGGTCCTGCTCACACAACCACTCCACATACTAGAAGCCTGTTAAAGACTAGTCTGAGACGTTACCTTCACACACCACACCCGCGTCCTCACTGTGTCTGCAGTCATGGCTCCCAAAGCCCCTATGACGACACTGGGATAGCTCAGTCTCCTGTCCTGTACACATGACATCGTCCATCCAAATGGGGCCAGTGCCCTGTCCAAAACGAGCGCCCATAGGAGCAGAGAGCACCCTGCCACAGCCCAGCTGCCTGCACACCACCTGGGCATCCAGCAAGCCCCAGGAATCGTCACATACAGTGCCCCACTGTCCTCGGTGGAAGATCTCCACTCGTCCAGAGCAAGAGCTGTTCCCCCCATTGAGCAGACGCACCTCTCCCTCCACTCCTGTACTGCTGTACCCAGGAGTGGTCTGGTTCCCTGGAGGGCGGGTAGGGATGGTGGGAGCATATGTGGTGTAGCTAATGACTGGTGCTATCCCAGAGCGTACCAGTGCACTTTTTTTTGTTTGAAGAGCAGGATTATTGATACATTCAAATGATCCTTTTGTGTTTTTACAGAGCTGAGAAGGACCACAGACAGATGGTGTGAAAGAGCACTCGTCTACATCCACACAGCCTTTTTTTGGGGACCACTTATAACCTGCGCCACAGCAGGAGGTGTCACCCCCACATACTTTGACTTCATAACAGTTGATGCCATCACCAACAAATCCTTCTTTACACAGGCAGGATAGGCTGGTGGTTGCTAATGCATCTCCTCTCTCCTCCAGTTTCAGACAAGTGGCTTCAGAGTGGCATTCATTGCAGTTGGTCACATGCACATCTATGCAAAATCAAAACAGAATTAGTGAACTTATCAAATGAATAGTCTACTTTGTGTTTTTATTGGCATTTAGACATAAAAAATAACTTGAGTGTCTGTGGTGACTTAGGGAAAACTGCATTCTACAAGCATCAGTAAAATAGAAATAGAAAAAAAAAAACATTACTAATCATCCCGCATTTTTTTTTTTTTTTTTCCACATTTGCACCAATTGTCTTCCATTTATTGAAATATAAATACAACATTAAATTTAGGCTTCATGGTTTAAAAGAGTTTGTTATAGGACGAGACGAATTATACGCTCTTTTGAAGACACGTTCACTCAAACATCTAACTGCGTTACATTAGACACACTGGTGAAGAGACAAAGAGAATACAGATTGAATCATGGTTTTAAATTGAGAACTGAATTCACACAAAATTTTAAACTTAGAAAAAAAAAGAAAAAAAAAACATTACTAAAAACAGTATAGTAAGAGCCTTATCAAGTACATTTCTCCTCTGTGAGATAAATAAACATAGATTATAAAATAAATCAAGTCATTTGAAATATTTGCATAGACTAGCAATGCAGCAGAAATGTTTACCTGAAGCACATCCTGTACTAATCAGCAAAATTAAAGACAGAAACAACACTTCAAACTTCCCCATTTCTTCTGGACTGCAGCCAGGATGAATTTCTGCAAAAACAAAAGAAAAGAATTGAAATGAATCTCACAAATCATGAATTATATAGCATAAATATGAGTGTTACTTACTCTTCGACTCTTCAGATCTCCGTTTACTTGTATTCAAAGGTCTGGGTATTTATAAGGCTGAGTTGGCGTTATCAGTGAAGATTAACGGGAATCCACGAAAGCATCATAGTGATACATGATTAATTTGACAGGACCCAAGTTAATTATTACAAAGCATATGGACCAAACAAAACTGGAGTACTCTTTATGCCCCACTAAGTACAAAGTGTCTTTATGTCATAAACTCACCCACCTACCTTCAGTCAATAATCTCACTGCTGAATAGATATGGATAAAACACCCCTGACCTGACCTGAAAATACAAGAGGGATCAAAAACAGTGTGTAATGTTTATCCAAAAAATTATGACATGCATAACATTTCTAAATCATTATTAATGGAAAAATAATAAGAATAAGATCTCATGTGCTGTTATGTTTTATACTTATGTTTACTGACACCACTCATAATTTCACAACAGTCTATCAGTATTTATTGCAACCCTTCTCATAAAACTGTAATACTTTTTTCGTTTTATATTCCCACTTCTTGGTCCCAGGTAAAGTCCCAGGTGTTTGACCTGGATCTTTGTTCTACATCAATAAAACGTGCCCACTTTACAACATCTAAGATCAAGATCTAAGGAAAGTCAAGGAAGTGACAATTTTTCCGCAACTGAGCAGTTTTTCCATAAAAGCTGATAACTGTCAGCCATATAAGTGGATGATTAAAGATTTTTTTTTTTTTTGCCATTTTTCTGCATTTGAAAACATGAGCAAATCTCAAAGTACACCATGAGACATTATAAAACTGTCACATAGACAAACAATAGCCACTCATTACACACATATTTACATATTTCATCATTTCAAAGATGCTTGAGCTCAGTGAAAACAAAACATCAAAAATATTTTCACTTTACTGTATTGAACATGCAGTCGATATTTTAATGATAGTGTAAAGCTTTTTTTTTCTTAAATGTGCTTGAATCGGCACAAACCATAATCCAAAAGATAAACTTCACACATATATACAGGTATGTAGTGTATGTTCATGCTAGTGACAAAATGGCAGATGGGCAAACATGAAACAGGTACATGAAACATGTGAAAAAAAAAAAAAAAGTAACCAAATCTACACCCTAAAAAATGTTCTATTTTCTATAATTTTTTCTACTTCTAGTTAGAAACAGGCACATCCAGTGAAAGTTGCGACTGTGTCCAAAGACAAAAAAAAAAAAAAAAAAAAAATGTGCAAAAGAAATAACAGATCCACACTGCAGTTCTTTGGAGCTCCCATTTATTATTATTATTATTTATTTATTTATTTATTTATTTGTCACCATAATGATATTATTTTTTCTACCCCATTGTTGGGTTAGGGCTGTTAGATCACTTCTAAGAGTTATTTTCACAGAGTTGGGTTGGTTTGCTGAGCTCCAGAATGTCACAGCTGAAGCTTCTGTCACTTTACCAAGTTACAAACGAATACAAACTAGAACATGAACAGTTTTGATGATCATTTCACTGCTGAATTACTGATGTGTGATCATTATCAGCATTAACCTAACAATAATTAAACTATTAAACTGATTAAACTACTACTTTAAAATAATAATCTGAAGTGCTTGGTCAGAATAATCCAGGTAGTGTCAGTATGATGGGTTATTAATTTACAGGTTGGGTTATTTTTAATCCATCATTTTTACTGTGTAACTCTTACAAATATTTCCAGGGCATGTCAATGGGTTCTTAGAAAAAAGGTCCAAACTAGATTGTGTGAATTTAAATCATGAAAAGGCATGTTAATTGCTTTTCTGTTTATAATTTTTTATTATTGATTTTTATTAACCAATTTTTTAAATATATTTTTCTTTCTAAGAACCAGCTTCTCAGGCATGAGAAGGATGTTACAGTCGCTAATGCGGGTAAAATAGAGGTTGCTGGGAAAGGTTGGAGAGCACTAATATAGCTGTTTGAGACCTATAAGCATTCACATATTTAATTCTGTTACGCAGCAAAAGGGAGAGAAGGTTTTATTATCATTTTACACTATGGATTAGTAGGTGACATTTTACTGATAATATTTTAACCATTTTATTTGTAAAGAAATCAAATCACAGCACTTCTCCCCATGCTTCAACATCATGTTCTATAGTAAGTACATGTAGGCCTACTTTTTAAACTTCTCTACATTTTGGACTTTAATATGTTTCTAAAACAGCGCAAGCACAAGAGAAGCCCAAAGAAGAAGTTGCCTCAAGCATACATGTTTTATCATGGAGAGACAGTGTATTGTTTGTATATAACCCTATAGTTTTCATTAAATATTTCATACTCTCCGGCCTGTACTGAGACTTCTGCAGCAGAACACGAGCCCTGAGTCAAAACATGAGTCAACTTTGTCTCTCCCAGCCCCACCGTCCAATCACATCTGGTTTACAGCTTCATCCTCTCCCATGTTTTATTAATCCAGGTCTCCCTAAACTAGGCCATGCACCAGGAGCACACTCCACTTGTCCTTTGTACGGATAGCATTACCTTTTGTGCTTTCATTTACTCAGGTCAAACACCAAAAAGTCTGCCAGTATGGGAAAGAAGAGCAGGACCATTTGAAGCACTTATCTCAATTTACTGCAAACTCTGAAACTGTTCACACCAAGTACTACCTATAAAAATGGAGTTGGTTTCCGAGTACCACTATAAACGAGGCCTAAATTATTGCTTGACCGTAGATGACGGAGTTCTAAATAATAATTAACCCAAAGACAAACAAAAGCTATAAAATACTTGAACTGCAGAGGGCCCCACGTACCAACCATGACCGCCTGTGTATGACTACTAGTACGAGAACCACAGTTTTAGAAACCTACCTATATATGTATGTACCTTTGCCATACCTATTTAGTATTAAAGGTTGTATATCACCAAAAAAACCCCAAAAAAAAACAACATACCTGGAGTTGTGTTTTATTTCATTCACACATGTTTGAGTATTTTTTTTTTTATATTAATCTGTCTACATCCCCAAAGCTCAAAATACTCTGTTCTACTTTTTGATGTCATGTAGTGGTAATTTTCAAGTTACCTTTTCCCTCAGGTACCGTTTACCTTTAGTTCAGTAGAGCTAGGAACCATCCAAATGATGATGGTCTATGGAGTTTAAAAACAATGGAGGCCCTTAGCATATTACCACATGACGTCACAAGGTGGAGTGTTTCCATTTCAGAACACAACCTAAATATACTAGATTTGTCTTTTAAACGTGTGGATAAAACTAGACCAGGGCTGGACAAACTTTTGACTTGTGGGCCACAAGGGGTTCTAAAATTTCACAGAAGGGCCAGATCAGGAGCCAATGGGTGGAGTTTTTTGGTAATCCGCCGCATAAGAGAAAAAAAATAACATAATATAGAAATAATATAGAAAATAATATGTAGAAAACATATCCCATGTTATTGTTAAATCAGTACAAAGTATTACAACAAAATATCTGTCTTCCAAATCCCATGATATTTACTATTTATTGAAATGACTGAAGATGATTATTATTATTATTCAAGTTTGGCGTGCTGGATTAAAAAGATAGGAGGGCCGCAAATGGCCCCCGGACCGTAGTTTGCCCACCCCTGAACTATACACTACTCCGGTTATGTTTGTGATCAGGAAACAACATTATAACAGCTCAAAAAATAGTGTAAAATGGGTCCTTTAAGCTTAAGTGCTTATTATAAACCTTCATACACTACCAGTCAAGTCATACAATGGTATTTTTCTTCATATTTACTACTTTCTACATTTTAGATACATACAGAACATCAATATAAGGCGTATGGGTATATGAATTATGTAACAAAAAATGTTTTATAATTTATATTAAAATTTCGTAAAGTATCCAACCCTTACTTTGTTGAAAGCTTAACAAATCCTTGGCCATCTAGAAATGTCAATAGTGCAAACCAGGATTCAAAGCCAAGGGTGGCTATTTATAAAACAAACAAAAACTTTAAAACAAGTTTGGACTTATTTTTTTGTTTTTTTTTGTTTAATACTATATTCCATATATGTTCATTCATAGTTTTGATTAAACTGGCTCATGCCAGACTGATATGTGTATCATTAAATTAAGTTTTACACATTATCCATCTGGAACAGCTCTCGCTAAAAGTGTTTAGAAAAAGAAGTGACTTGCAGCAGAATGCATCGAGCTGAAACACTCCAAAGTGCCCACCCACCATAACTTCTTTTTAGCCAATCACGGCAAACCTGTAAAAATGACATATACAACTTGCACCAGGTAAAAATAAAACAAGTGTCATGCTGGAGAGGGAAGATGTCTATAAACATATTTTGCCATTTACAAATTGCAAATTGCATTAAGGGAGTTACAAGCCACCCTCAACGTCTGCCATGTTTATTTTGCTCCGTGTTGGCCTGACGCTTGGGGTTGTTGTCATGTACCCTGAAATACCTCCCTCCAACGCAAATAATAATGGAAATAAAGCTGAAAAATAAATAAAAATGTGTATCTGACCTTTTTAAGGTGTAGTGTATGTGCCTTCAATACTAAGGCCCATTATCTGTTCAGTTGGACCCCCTGTTGTGACTGCAGAATAGCAATTACAACACATCCCATTATTATACTTGAGTTATCAATATTTTTTTTTTTTTTATAACTCCATAAATGCTTTATTTATCAAGTGCTTGACTAGAGCAATCATTTGATTAACTTGACTTAGTGGCTTTTTATTATTATATTTAATGCCATACTGTGGAACATTCCAGACCCTCTTGTGAATCATAGTTGTAATTGTTAGAGTCTAAAGTTTAAAAAAAAAATGTGTTTATTGATTTTTTTGCCTTATCGGTAAATATCATTGTCTTGTATTCTAAAACACCATGGCTCTGGTCTTTGCCCTCTCCTCAGCCACTCCTTTGTATCTGTCAATGAGCAGCATTGGGTCTAGACTCAGGACCACACAACGTGACAATGTCCCAGTCCCCAGAGCACTACCATCTGCATCTGTGTTCTGCATACACTTGGCCCCTAACACAACCAAATGAACCAAAGTGCTCATGTGGCATACATTTGAAGACAC